CTGCTCTGCCCTTGAGCTTGGGGAGCCAGCCAGCCAGCCGTCAGTCAACCGTTCCTCTTAATAAGCCAATACGGGATCGGCTTCTGCCTTTTGCCACAAACCGTCCTAAGTGTTGGGGATGTGGAGATGACTTTGTCACATGTACTGTCCTTAAGGGGCGGGAATCTAGTAGATGATACAGACTTGCACAGGAAGTGCAGCCCTGGCCATCTGCAGGGAAAGGAGAAGCAAATGAGCAGGGCGGGCGGGCTCCACCATCGAGGCGAGCCTGGCGAAGGTCTGGCCATCCCTCTGTCCCCGGCGGGCGGGCTTGGTGTCCCGGGCAGCAGAGCACGGTCCCACGTCTGCCTGAGAGCAGCTGTGTGATGCTCCTCTTCCCTCTCCCAGTCTCAGCTTCTTCATCTGCCAGTTGTGAGGAAAACGATTTCTACCGGACAGAGCGGTTGCAGGGGTTGGTGGGGGGCCCGGGGCGGGGCCGTCACGTGACAGCAGGTGACTGGCCACCACTCACGCGGGGTCACCGGCTTGCCTTCCAGGCTGAGGGACGGGGCGGGGGCCCCCATGATCAGCAGCCGCACGCTGGGCCTGCACTTCCAGCCCCGCAGAGGCCTGCACCACCACGTCCCCGTCATGTTCGACTACTTCCACCTGTCGGTGATCTCGGTGACCGTCCACGCTGCCCTGGTGGCCCTGCAGCAGCCCCTGATCAGGTACGAAGCTGTGGGCCCCGCGGCGTGTGGGGCGCTTGGCCTCCTGGTCCTTCCGTCTCAGGAGCGGCCGAGAGGCACGGAGGCCGCCGGGCTTGGTCAGCGCAGACCGGAGGGGCTTCTCCCAGGCGGGTTCGGGCCTCACCGAGGGGCAGGGGAGAGGTGGGCGGGGGCGAGGAGCGGGCACCAGGATGCAAGGGGACACAGGCCGGCTGCCTGGGGCTGAAAACCCCCGATCAGCCCGGAGATGGGACCCCGTGCCTGGCTTGGCTTTTTCCTAGTGCGCCTTATCTGAGAGGTCACCTAAAGCCCCCGAGACATCGAGTCTTCGTGTCTAAAACAGGAACGCTAACGTGTCCTGTCCACACGAGGTTTTAATGACTCGCAGACGGGGACGGGGGCCAGGCACGGGGCCAGGCTCTGTTTCCTCCTTGCCTGGCGCAGACAGAAACCCACCGTCAGCGCTCAGCCTCTCCAGGGGCGGGGTCCAAACAGAACTGTCTCCTGTTCCCTGGGTGTTGCTGGAAGGAACCTGTCAGCTCGCAGTGGCTGGGGACAGAAGAAGCCTTTGCAAGTTACGGGAAACACCCGTCACATAGGGCAAGCTCTAGCTTTTCCAGAAAAGCAGTTTTTGAGGCATCAGTTACATCCAGTCAGGAGGAAGCAGCTGTGAAATTAAAACTCAACCTCAAAAGACCCTTCACCTTCCCTGAGACAGACGGAATGAAAGAATCCCATCTTTCACCGTCAGACGGGTGCACTGGCTTTGACGTGGGGGGTCCAGGCCCCTGGAGGAGCCGACCGGCACCACGCTTCAGTCAGACGAGTGCCCCCCGCTGTTCTTTGGCAGCCTGCCCCCCGGCTGAGCCGCGAGCCTCACTGCTCAGGTGCTTTCTGTGCTTCCTCTGTCACCTTCACGTGACCCACCTTCACGCTGACTGGAGGGAGCCTCGCTTCCAGGCTCCCTTCCAAACAAATCAGAGCGAAGATTCTGTTACCCTTGATCATGCTTGTGCTGTTATCAGCAACGGCCGAGTCAGGGTAGTAACGATTAGACGTTATCGTATCTGCGGTATTGTTGACAGTAGCCCCCGGCCTTTCCCGAGACATCGCTAGGTGCCAGACGCCACACTCAGAGCTGAACTCGGCTAATCTCATAAAGTCCTCGTAGCGGCCCTGCAGCGAAGGTGCCGGTGTCAGCCCTTCTGACGTACGAGGACACAGAGGTACCGGGACATTGAAAACCCTCTGCCGTGTCACAGAGCTTCCGGGCGCTGCTTCTGGGGCTCAAACCCTGGCCCACTGGGTTCATCAGCTGCCCCTTAACCCCTTGGCTGTACTCCGCTTGAATAACACCTAGTCGTCCTCTTCCCCCAGTTCGGCCTATAAAGTGCCCGTCTGTGCCCTGAGTTGCCCCCCTTCGTGTTACATCCGCCTCCATCTCTAGGCCGAGATGTTTTCATGCGAGAGCCAGCCTCAGTCTGGCCACCCTGGCACCTGGCACCTGGCACACTGCCAGGCCCGTGATGTGAGCCTAATGGACGTTTGGGTAAATGAATTAAACAGAAATAAAATGTCAGCTTTATGTTTCCCCTTCACTATTTTAAGCAGGCATGTGGGTGTCTTGGATTAAAGCCTCCCACAAACATTTCTCGAGCACCTAGGCTGGAGGAGCTGCCAGCGGAGGCAGCGCATCCTCAAGGGCCTTTGAATCCCCCTGGGGGACAGGGCCCGCCTGTAAACTAGCGCTCACGTAGGATGAGACGGCTGGCCACTAGGGAACCGAACAGAGGCGTTCTGGCAGAAAGGGAAAAGGGGCACGGGTCACCGTGACGAAAACGAAAACGGTGACAAACGACCGTCAGCCCAACAGGGGCAAATCCGAGGACCGCACTGGCTCTCGAATCTCCTCCGACCCGGCCGCTGACAGTGGCCGTGACCCCGCGGCCGTTGACCTTCCGCTGGCTCACAGAGCCGGCAGGGTCTGCATGCCCGACTGCGGGGCGGCGGCCACAGCCCCGGCTCGCGGGGTCGGCCTGGGCAGCGTGGTCCCCTTACACTCTCGTGTGGGCCGCGGAGGTTCACGCCGCCTTGCGCCCTTGCACGGAAGAACGGACTGGGCTTCGGGGACGGCGCGGGGCTTGGGGGCGCTCCCCACGGTGCGTGCACTCCGCACACCTGCCGCTGGGGCACGTCACCTTGGAGCCCCCGCCCCGTCTCTCAGCTGCCCTGTGTGCGGCCTTGGGGAGCATGGATGAGTGTCATGCTTGTCTCCCCAGCTCACGTGGAGACGGTTGCGGCCCCCTCGTCACGGTGGCAGTGGCCGCCCCAAACGCCCCCTACGGGACGAGCCACCCCTTCTCACGGACGGGTCTCGTGGGCCGCCCACCGACCCCGGGACAGAGCGGAGGCCCTGCCCCTCTCCTCGTGGTCCGCTCACCTCCTCCGTTCTCTCTTCCAGCTTCACTCGGCCGGGAAGGGGCTCGTGGCTCGGCAAGGGCGGCGTGGGCGCGGGGCCCGAACAGTCCAGCCTCTCTCTGGAAAACCTGGTCTTCGGGGCTGGATACTGCAAGCCGACGTCCTCCGAGGTAACGTCTGCGCGGGGGCGGCGGCCCCGAGACCCACGGGCGCTGTGCGTCCTGCGAGATCCCCGCTCCCTTCAGATGTCCCATCGAGAGACGCTTTGCTCTGCGTGTCTCTCGTCTGTCCGTCCATCTTTGGAATCGCTGCTGCGTTTCTCAGACATGTTCCTAACGCCGGGCCCTGGGCAGACGCAGCGAGCAGGGTCTGGTCCCTGGAGAAGAGGGTTCTCTGGGGGACCGCTGCGGGTGGCTCCCCCAGACCGTGGGCGGCTTAGAACGCGGAGTGAAATGGGGCTGGTCTCGAGACCCGGCTCCGTGCCTCATTCGCTCACGTCTCCGAGCCTTCGTCTTCTCACCTGTGGAATGGGGTTAATGACCTCGTGGGCACGAGTACGTACAGTGCTGTGTGCATTAGCGTGTACTAGCATGTGCCGGTATGTACCAGTATGTCCCAGTGCTGCGTGCATTAGTGTGTACCAGTATGTACCCAATGCCGTATGTGTTAGTATGCGTTAGCATGTACCCAGTGCTGTGCGTATTAGCATGTACTAGTGTGCACCAGTGCTGTGCGTATTCGTATGCACTAGCATGTACCCAGTGCCGTATGTAAGGTTCAGTTCAAAGCATTTTCCACACTGATATCCCAAGACAAGAGCCTTTGCTGGTGCCACAGAGCACATGAGAATGGGGGAGACGTGGTGTCCGCCCTGCAGGAACTCTGGTGCCCCGCTCCCCACGCAGCCTCTGACGCCTCGTCAGATGCCGCCACCTCTGTGAAGCCCGCTCTGGTTTCTCCCTCCCAGATGCTCCCTCCGGTCACCTCTAGGCATCGCTGTCTCTCCTGCACTGGGTTCCGAGTGGCCGGGGACAGAGGCCATCTCATTCAGCGCCACACTCCCGGGGCCGGCGCCATAATCCGTGCTCCAGAAACACGTGTCGCGCTAATGATAGCTACAGGACGCTGCTCGGTGGGGGAGCCGAGCCCCACGTGTGTCGTTCTGTCCTGACTGACGGAAGGCCGCGGGCGGGAGCGGGAGAGGGACGGGGTCTTCGCGGACGTGCGCATGCCGGGCGTGGCTGCCCTGGGAGGCCGTTGGGAACCCCTGGGCCTGGTTGGAGGGACAGGGGACATGGGAGGTCATTCGGCCCTTCTGGTTCTGTTGCACCCGAGGAGGCGGAGCATGACCCGGCCAGGTCTCCACCTGGGAGGCTTGCAGGGGGAGAGGGAGAAGGTTCTAGTCTTAGACGCCTGCCGTGCTGGACGCTGTGTGACTTGGGGCATCTTCTTCACTCTTGGGGAGACTCAGGTGTCTCCGCTCTAGAATGGAATAATACCTGCATTTTGGAGAGGGTTTCAGGAGTTAATATGTGTAAAAACAGTACAGAAATAGACACGTAGCAGCCACGTGATACAGTCGAGTTTTCTTTTTTCTTGGCTATTTTTGGGGATGTGTGTCAAAGAAGACATCCTTGCCTTTTACAAGAGTCAGATAAAATAGCTCATTCGTGGGTGCTCGGCAGTGAACTTGCTGCTGGAGCTCAGCCCAATGGGTTATTTTCGGGACCCGCTTCCCTTCCTGTGCATTATGCATCTGGGCCCCACCCAATTCTGGGGGTTCGGTGCCGCCCCTGCCTTCCCACCAGGCAAGGGCTGCCAAGCAAAGAATAAAACCCACACCCCCCGCTTCCCCCGGGGGCCGAGCATCCAAATCGCCCAGAAGCCGGTGCATTAGCGAATGACGCTGGACTCCACGCAGACTGCAGCCGAGCTGGGGGATTAGAGACAGGCGTTCTGTTCAGAATAAGCCTCTCTGCGGAGGCATTTGCAGAAACTAGGCTTTCACAGCAAAATGAGACATCACAGGGAGGCGAGGGTGGCCGAGGCAAGGGTGGCTGAGCCGAGCCGTGTCCCTTTGCCATTAGCCAGGCGCCTCACCCTGTAGCTTCCCTGAAGCTGGAGCTTCAGGTTTAGAGTCACAGCGAGGGCTGTGTCCCTTCCCATCACAAGGCAGTGGCTTTGCCCTTGGGGAATCGTTTTTCCTCTCTGACTGGTGGCTTATCTGTCAAAGGGATACTAATGCCTGCCTCGCACGGTGGCTGAGAAGATTAAACGAAATAAGCATATAAAAGCCTCGAGCTTAGCCTGGCACAAAAGTGCTCAATAAAAAATCCTCTGCTGGCGCTGTGTTTCTGTTAGTTTGTCCACATGATTAAATCGAGTGTCACTCCAGGAGCCCCGATGTGGCCTCGTGGGCAGGACGCCGAGTGAAGGGTCTTAGACGCGGTCGTGGTCGGCCATAGCCCTGACCTGCGGTGCGGCCCTCAGCCAGATGCTTGCCTTGCCTACGTATGTCTGTTTTCCCCCGTGCAGGG